ACAATTTGTTTATTTTTATTTATATTATCAATTTGTTACAATTTGTTTATTCTTCTGTAAATGCCTTAACAGATTCCTTTCCTGTGTTTATTCATTCTTTAATATTAGAACTTTCAACTGTCGATCATAGATGGCTGTATAGCATCACTAAGTAAAGCACTGCTATTTGGAAAATGGCTGCTACTTCGGTTTCCAAGTTAGTACAATTTCTCATAGTAAACATTATATTATATTGCTTACATTTTCTTATATTGCCATTTTTATTCATAATTAGTAATTTTAGACATTTTATTTTAAATGTTAAATTGAGAAAATTGTGGGGTAGATAAAAAGATCTACCGAAAAGAGTGAATGGAAACCCAAATGTACAAGCCAAAACAACACTGGAAATGTTTATGTTTGGCAAGGAATTTGGTTCCTGTGCAACAAAAATTAATAATTATATTTTTCATAATTTTTATGACGACAAATTTCAGATTTTTAACATTTTTGGTTTACTTTGAGGCATTAATTTAAAAATAAATTAGAATAAACTGAGGTTGTTTCCCCTTCCCCCTAATGACACACATTGATATTCCTTAGCAATTTACTACTGTGTAATCTTATATTGTGTGTATTCCTTTATTTATAACTTTGTTACATATGGTATGAAAGAAAGAAAAAGAATTTTCATGCAAGTAATTTATAAGGTTTTAAATGCTAAAAATATGTTAATATTCTCATTAAGTTTTATTAATTTAGAATCACACTCAAATAATCATTAAAAATATCATGAAGCTGTATTTTATTCAACTAACCTTACAAGTTAGTTATGTGCTAATACCAAAACCTGCTACTGCTTTCTTAAAACGCAAATGCTTTAAGATTCTGTGAATAAAATATTTTCAAAACAAATTCTATTGATCAATACTTTCCATGAGAGTCTGCACAGCCGAGCTCATTACTCATCTTATTAACATCAGAAATATTTTTAAAAACTGAAATTTCCTTTTTAATATGACACACAAATGCAAAAATCTCTCTCTTTAATTTGTGTACACCTGAAAAAGATTTCAAACTTTAAATATTTCTGCTGTTTTTTTTTTTTTTTTTTTTTTTTTTTTTTTTTTTTTTTTTTTTTTTATACGCATGTCAAGCTTTTGCATGTTATGCTGTAGAAGGAAAATAAACTTTTACTGAAAATAATTATATGGACCTGAAAGAGAACATAAAAAGTTAATTTTTTATTTTCATAAAATTGATTCTTTTAAAATTTAAAATCACCATAATATCAATATTTCCTTAGTTCAAGCATTGATGATTACACATTAAAATAAGCTACAAGAAGCCAAGACCCTTCTTCTTCACAGGTTAAACAAATCACCCAATTAATTTTAGACTGATTTTGTGTCTAAAATTTCCAACTATAAAACGCAGTGCATTCAAAAAGCTGATACTACCTCTGGGTTCATAGCCACATTTTAGATAAAAAAATAAGCACCTATAAGCACTTTTCAAGCACGTTTTAAGAAAAAAATAATTACATTATACACAACTGCATAACCTTAAAAATTAGACTCATAATTTAAAATATGAGAAATGCAGTATTTATTAAGAGAGAATACGCATTACCTCAACCATGGAAAATAATTACTTTTTTTTTAAATTTTAAATAACAGTTCAATTTACAAAACTAGTTTACAATGAGAGAAAAAAAAAAACTATGTAGAACTAAACTATATTACAAGATTTAATGATGAAATTTCAGTTCAAAATAGAGGAAATAAATAATAATAAGGCATATTTAATCTATTCGTTTGGCACTTAATAATAAATACAATTTATTTTTCCACTCATATTGATATTTAACTAATTTAAATCTAAATTCTGAACATTTTCTAAATTTTCATCGTATACTAGTTTTCCCTTAACAGATATTGCAAGCAAAGTAATTTAAGTAAAAAAGAGGAACATTTCTGAAATCAGAAGACAGAAATTTGCTTCATGCACTCATCCTTTGACAGTTATAGCTTAACTACCCGCATACTTGAAAATTGACGAATATTCGGACAGTCGAGCGTAACTTTAAAAAGAGGAGCGGAGGGGGGATAGACTGTAGCCGTTCTTTAGATTTTTCCGCTAAATAAATGTTTTTGACATTTCAATATGTGCATAAAAACATAATATAAAAACAAACCAATGGAACAGAAAAATATTCTGCTTTGCAAGCACAGTAAAACTCTTTTAAGTGTTCATAAACAAATCTCCGAATGAACGTCAAATTTAATTATCTCTGCAAAATATCCCAAACGTTATTGCACAATACGTGCACCGTAATTCTTCCCTACATGATATTATGCAATCGGATTCAACAGCTGCCGGTATTGGGAGAATAAAGAACTAAATAAAGTAAAAGAAAGAGACTTACCAATCTGGGGTGTTTTTCATTCTAATTTTCAACAGAATGCGTTAAATTTCCGGAATAGAATCATTCTTTGCTTGGGTTTGTAGACCGCAGAACTTTTAGTCCTGTTCAATCCAGATTGGAAAGTGACAAAAAAAAAAAAAAAAAAAAAAAAAAAAAAAAAAAAAAAAAAGTCCGTTGCTTGTTTTGCAGCGAACTGTAACAGTTTCAATATTCGAGATTTTGCGAGAAAGGGGAGAACCTCCCAACCTTCGTACTGTATAATGTATTGGGGAAAAAAAAAAAAAAAAAAAAATATTTTGACTATTCGATTACTTTCCCTTTATTTAAGACATTCTGAATATTATTCCTTAGAAAGCTAATCTGTGTTAAAACACAACCATTTTTGGAAGGTTACTATACTTCAGCAGTTACTGCAACTATGTTATTATAAACATTCATACATACACTCATAATATAAGCATAATGATCATAATAAACACGAACATGAACTGACTAAGCAGAACGAGAATGCAAATTATTAAGATCTTGATAGAAATTCAAACGGGTGTAGTATTTGGGTGGGAGGAAAAGAATGCCGAATGTACCAGAATTTTCTACTGCTTTCGCAATTCTTTGACCAACAGAACGACGGGCACCTGCCAGCACTCTCCGCGCACACCAAAGGTTATGTTAATGCAGAAAAAGGGGAAAAGCTATTTCCGGGAGTATGATTCACCATCTGACATTCCATATTAGGAAGAAAAGTTGTTTATTTAGTTTCGGCTTTGGTATGGGGAAAAACTGCGCGTTCATTTAAAAAAAAAAGCAATAAAAGCAAAAAAATAAGCACTAAAAACAAAAACAAAAAAAAAAAAAAAATAAGGGCTTTAAAGAAAAAGTAAGCACCTATAAGAGCCTTTATATTTTATTTTCAAATATAAGGACTTATAAGCACTTATAAAGACCGCTACGAACCCTGTACCTTTTATACAGCAAAACAAGAATTGCAGCTATTAAGGCTAGTAAAGTTAATCAGTTAATTATGAACTTGGGAAAGCCAATGCCAAATATCTGCTAACAGTAATTTGAAAAATTAAAATTTGCACTGAGGGAAGTTATCCTTCAGAAAATCGCAAAAACTAATCTCCAAATGTCCCTCTCAAACAATGGCATTATTTCACAACTTGGCAACATTTAAAAATTTAAATTAAATCCCAAGGAACAGAAATAAATGAGATGGTTTTTTACACTGATTTAATTACAGTGAATGGCAGCTTCTGCATACTAATTCAGCATGCTAAAAATGACTGAATTTTAAAGTTTTGATATGCACTTTAAAACTTTTGATCTACTTACTTTTAAGGTAGACACAGTCACCATGAGGAAGTCAGAAAAATTACTCTTTACTCCATAATCAAAACAAAAGGTTAACAGCTAGAGTTAATATATTAAACAAATAAATGCATAAAACTTGATTTTATACATCATAAACTACAAAGCAAATAGACACAACAAAGACCGATTTTTATTATGTTAAAGAAACAAGAGAATTAGACACACGATTTTTGGGATAATATTTTTTTTTTAATAATGAAATGGTCTCTCATCCCCCCTAGCAATATTTTATAAGAAATAAAATTGTTAAAATATAGATATCAAATTAAGGAAGCTATCAATGTAAAACATATTTTATCTTGCTAAATACTTTAGTATACCAAAGAAGAAAAAGTCAAAATGCAACTAAAAGCATTCATTCTGACTGAATACGATTTACAAAAATTTTATTGAAATTGGCACTTAAAAATTATCTCGCATTATTAGTTAGTCTGTATTCTTCAATCCCAGATCCCATGAAGTAAAGCTTTCCTTAAGCAGAGATGTTTTACAAGATATATAGCATCTTGAGCTTCTGACCCACAATATACAATATGCTTCATTGTTACATATTTATAGTTCTAGAATTAGCTAAGCAAAATTTGTATTTTATCACATGCCATCTTCAAACACAAAAACAGAATAAAATTTTACAAAAAAACTAAATTATTGTACAAAAAAAACGAGTTTCAAGTTTTTCCACTACCATTATAATGAGATTAAATGCACTCCAGCAAAAGTATGTTTCTAAGTTCATCTGCTGTTAAAACTGTCAAACTTTTCTCATGATCTCTTCTAAACCAAAGGTTTTTTTGCCCTTCTCCAATTTCTTTTCATATGACACAATTAAATTTACAAAGATGTTATGAGAAGATATTGCAATTAATTTTCAAAAGCAAAAAGGCATTCATTATTGTTAGAAATAATATATATGTAAATAATAAAAAAAGGCCATTGTGACCACCAAAGTATTCAAACTTATATCTCTTATAATATGGAAAAGGGGAATGCAACAGCCTATTTCCACATTTAACTCAGGGCAACAAGCAAATAAATGCTATTTTAAGATAAACTTTTAAAACAGAATGCTCTTACTCACTTTTAATGAAAGTAATAAAAATTTTCTAGACTAATGAGAAACAAATAACATGAAAAATATTTAGTTTTACATAAATATACATACATAAATACATATTTGAAATACTTTTAATTTTATAAAGAAGTCAAGGTATTTACTTACTCTTATAGCTGTTCGCAACTGGCTGATATCAGGTGCATCCTTGCAACTGCTATCCATTTCTCTAAGGGAAGGGAGTAAAAACAGTAACTATACAGATGAAGCAACATGGACATAAGGGAAAATTTTGTTGCACTATGCAGAAGCCAAGTATGGCAAATTGCAAGCAAAAGGTAAACTATGAATTAGATATAAAGAATTAAAAATTCATTAGGACTCATAGATAATAAGATACTCTGAACTGAATGACATCAAGTTTTTTATAGCATGTAATGCTCCGCTTTCCACAACAGGAAGTTATTCCTACGATAACCCATAGTTATCAATATACAAATGCCCATCCCTTTCGCTTGCAAACTCACCCAAGTACGAGTTTTTTGGAAAGTAACTTTCAAAATATAATCCAATATATAATAAGTGTGGTACTGTTCCTTCAGTGACTAAAGAATGCATCATAAAGTTCATTTGGTGAAATGACAACACATGTAAAGCTTGCACTAAAGATGTGCAAAACAATAGAAGGTTTTGCTGATTGTGTATTTCATTCCATAATTCACTTTTTTAAAGCAAGGAACATGTGACCGTGTGAAATCCATAGACAAATCTGTGAAGTGTATGGCAATACAGTTATCCATAGACAAATCTGTGAAGTGTATGGCAATACAGTTGTAAGTGAGAGAATGATTAGAAGATGGGTTCCATCATTCAATTCAGGCAGAGTGAACATGCATGATGAATCAAAAAGTGGCCAGTCATCTACTGTGAATTAGTTTGACAAACTAATTCAAATACAAACATTTACTAATAAAAATACAATAAATAAATACAAAATAATACACAAATTTGTGTGAACAGATATTTCACAATCTCCAGTTTTTCACTGGTGTTTCCTGTTCTGTATGAAATTTTTGCTGAACACCTGTGTTACAGAAAAGTGTGTTCATGGTGGACACTGAAAATGCTTACAGAGGAACATAAAGTTAAATGTTTTGCTGCTGCTTTAACATTTCTAAGCTGATACAACACCATGGAGGTTAACAGTTAGGCACATCATGACTGATGATGAGACTTGGAATTCCCACGTCATACCATCACCGAAACAATAACTAACGAAACATAAGAACCCCACCTCACTAATGTGGTGGAACTTCAAACAGACCATTTCTACACACAAAAGCATATGATTTTGCACAGTTTTCTGGGACAGGAAAGGTGCCATACAGGCAGATTCATGGCCAGAGACAAACTGTTAATAGTGCTGCTTACAGCACAACACTGAAAAACTGTGATATACTATTCAAAGCATGAGATGCGGCTTGCTTTGTGATGGTGTCCTTTTACTGCACGACAATGCCAGGCAACATTCTACTCATGTTGTAAAATTATATCAAGTCCTTCAGCTGGGAAGAAATTAATTATCAGGCTTATAGCCCTGACTTGGTACCAAGTGACTTTCAGCTATTCTTGCATGTGAAACAACTCTCGAGTGGCCAGCGTTTTGATGACAAGGAAGAAGTGAATGTTGCAATAACAAGCTGGCTAACCTCACATCTATGATGCTAGCACATATAACCTTGTTTCTCGATATAATAAATGCCTTAATATGCTGGATAACCAAGTTGAAAAGTAGTAAAATGTTTTGTTATGAAATATGTATTTTTACCAATATCTATATCCATTTTCTTTCACATAATAATGGAAACTTACTTTGTGAACAGCTTTTGTACAATTTGCAATATTTAAAAGTTATAACAAAGCTAAAAACATAAAACAAACTTCTACATAAGGCAGTGAATTTACCCATCCTTATTTTTTTGCAAAAATCTAAAATTATCCTTCTTTTCCTTGTTTTTTAAACCATAAACACAATTATACATCTAATCTGATCCCATAATGCTTAAATGCCTCTACAGAAATTCCTTCACCTAACATAACTCTAGTTTCCAAGTACAAGTCACGAGTTCTGCTTTTCCTTAGCATTTTTTCTCAACCTCAATTTCCATTACTTGACATCCTAAACAGCTGCAATAACACTTGGTTGTAATTAAAAGTACTGCAAAGTCAAAACACTTGACCCAGAATGTAGAGAGTTCTTAAATTATGAGTGCTACTAACAGCATTACTTTAGCTACAGATCCACAAATTACTGACAGGGACTTAAAACTTACAAAATCATAAGAGTTCTCAGACTACATAGTACCAGATTAAACAGGTGTCTACCCTTCCCTTTAAGATGAATGAATGGATTGCCAATAAAGATTTACTCTGCAATGTACAATGTTTAGAACAGATAATAGCATGAGTTTTGTTTCTTAAATTACATCCCTTGGCTATGTGGATGTTCAGAAATCTTCCATGTATATGTCCATGTATCTTCCATGCTATGTGGATGTTCAGTAATCTTCCGATGCCATTACATTACAAAAGGGATTTACAAATTTTACTAAGTTTAAAAAATCTATGTTTAAGAAAGACATCTGCAGCTAATTCTTGAAATATTAGCAAAAGCGAAAATGCTATTTCCTTATAAAATTAACTAGAAATAATAAAATTATATAAATGAATTATTTAACCCCTTTATTCCCAGCATACTATATATCATACCCTCCAGTTACCCTCCATGGGCCCACTGTATCAAATGTGATACAGGAGCAAAGTATCACTGGTGGCCCACTGTGATATTTTATATAGTGCAAAAGAATGTTTTATTTAATATTTTAAGAGCATATAAATGATGACAGAATGCTGCCACACTTAATTGAGTGGAATGCCTTTCATATTAACTTCATTATTACTATTACTGTTATTCAGAGTATTATTTACTATTTTGTTCAACAAAAAATAAACATGTTACATGCAACGCATGATCAGAGTTTAGAAACATTTCGCACAGTGCAAGTGGTTTCCAATTTTAAACATAAACATGACAATGCAGTATATTAGGAAAAAACATTTATGAATTTAAACAGGATATTTAATTTCATAAATGTTTTTGCATCGTTATTGCATGGAAGTAATATGTAAATTTTGTTACTAATTTTGCATTTTAAGTAATTTTAATTTTAGGTATTAGAATTTAAATTTTATGCCATAAAAATAATCTATGCAAGAACCCATTTTAACAACAATAAGATTTTATAGGAATTACTTATCCATGTTAATTTTATTTTCAGTATGTGATGCAGCACAGAGTGATAGTGCTGCAAGATTTCTTAGGGACAAGAGGAAACTTCATTCTTCCCACACTGGGAGCAAACAGGCTAAAATCAGATCGACATATTCTAAATCAAAATATTTCTAGATCAGCTCTGTCTGTAATCTGTCAACATGGCGGTATAGGACTGTGCTTACAGTTATTGTGATCAATCTTGATTGTGTAGTGTGCAGAGAGACATAATTGTGTTAATACTGAAAGATATTACAGTGGTATTTTTATCACATGTATGGTAATCTGCAATGACATGATTGACAGAAAGGCAGAGTAATGAATCAATAAGAAATTTTATACTGAACATTGTAAACTGGCCACAGAGAACATGCTTTGTCTACCAATGCTTAACGTGGCATAGACACTTCAAAGGCTGTAGCATATCCAAGATTCCAAAGACAACGAATGATGTGGATGACCCCAAGCATCACCCCAGAAAATATGGAATGAATCAATAGTCTGATCATGCACATCATCAAATGCTGATCAATGCTACTGTAGACATCATTGGCAAATTATATGGGTCACTGTAGACAATCCTAATGTCAGAAATGAACATGCAGTATGTCATTACCAAATTCAACCTCGATTGCTGACCTCTGGGGTAAGGGATTATTGAATTATAGCATGCCATGATTTGATTGAGAATGTTATGGATAATCCATACTTCATACCATCACATCAGTGATGACTATTAAGTCTATGGTTATGACCTGAGAAAAAAGTGGAAGTTATTGCAGTGGAACAGACTAATCTCAATGACTGAAAAACGTGAAAATGAATCACACTGTAATTAAGACCATGCATTTTAAAAAAATCTTTGTGATAGTATTTATTTTGAATTACTCCCCAAAGGCCTTACTGCCAGCACAAGTTAACAATGAAGTTATGGAGGGCTTGGTGGACAGCATTTGGAGAAAGGAACCACATGAATAATTGCATTCTCCATAATAACAATGCACCAAGGTTTAAATATAGTTGAAGCCCACCGATGACAAGTTCTGATAGTTCTCAGTTTTTCACCAAATTGTAATTTCAGCTGAAAACCCAATAATAAAAACTCAGGAATTTTATTACATAAATATTTGCTATTAATTTACAATTTTTTTTATTTATTTCATCACATTTTTTAATTTTTTAATTTCTTTAATTTGTTATTATTTTACTTATTTTGCTAACCTTTCCAGATGGCCTTCTAAAGGGCTTTGGCATTTCTAATTTTAGAAATTGAACCTAGCAATGCATCCTGTTTACCAAACATTACTTGTTCGTGACTTTCTCACCTATCACAACATACACTTGTGTGTAAAACTAAAAGAACTTACTCCTCATGTCGGCTTTTTGAAGAACTAAGGGATAGATTTTAATAAAATTTGGCTTGAATATACATTTATAATAACGTACCACCCAAAAGTAATTTTATGTAAGCATGATTTTCAGTACTCATAGTGCAAGAATGTCCATAATCCATGTTGTGATATTGAATTGAAAATAAGTCTAATATGGGGGTATGGTCCCCTGTCACAGACAGTCAGGTTGCACAGTGTGACGGCATACTGGACAAGAGGCAATTCAGGAGTCCCTGTGGCAGTCGATCCCACTACTACAGCAAAGCAGTTTTCAATTTCGGAATGGTTCTTGAAAGAGGATGGTGAGATGAAATTGCACTCCCAAAAACATCCCAGACATACTCTATAGGGTTAAGGTCAGGAAACTTGGCTGGCCAATGCTGTGGTGAACAGTTTCCAGGTAATAATCAATGAGCTCTATGTGGTTGCTGTTTTATTCATTGCTGTTCATTAATGAGAACCCAGGGCAAAATGTGGCCCTGAAAAGTCGAATATAAGGCTCCAAGA